AAAAAAAAAAAAAAAAAGCAAAACAAAAAAACAACAATAAAAATAACGGATTTATTTGCAAAGAACCAACTTTATTTATTTATTTATTTTTAGCAGTTTTGTAACTTTATTTGAAAGTTAGTTCTCATCCACATTTACTGTCCGGAGATTTTTGAACGTGGCCACAGGGTTACCAAAGTGTACAGCTTGTTTGGTGAATCTTCATCCTCATTATGCTTTCTGGACAACTGTACACGGATATGATATGGGACGTTCCTTTGGCCCAGATAGCTTTGTTTTTTTGTTTTTTTTTCCGCGGTACTGGGGATCAAACTCACAACCTTGCGCTTGCCAGGCAGGCGCTTATGCCACTGAGCTATATCCCCAGCCCCTAGACAGCTTTGTTGAGCCTGGTGTCAATGTGGACATCTGGAGTCCCCATCTCCTTCTTGGCAAATTTCCGGATCTCCCTAAGTGCCCGAGGGGCCCGCTTCTTGAAGCCCACTCCATGGATGCGCTTGTGAATGTTGAGTGTGTATCCTCCAATCACCATCTCCTTGATGGCAGAACAGCCCTTCTTCTTCTTGCCACCCTTCTTTGCGGGAGCCATTCTGCCAGGTCCAAGTTGAAAAGCTTTTTTTTATGGTACTGGGAATGGAGCTCAGGACCTTGCGCTTGCCAGGCAGGTACTTATGCCACAAAGCTAAATCCCCGGCCCCAAGAACCAACTTTAATAGTCATGGCAGAACTAATAAATATTGGTAACATCGTACACATATGCAACCAGTTAGCTTAGGGCTCTGTATCACTTAATGGTACCTAAATCAGTGTGGTTTTAATCCATGGTTCTTTGAATGATTGCAGAAACTAAGTAACCTTAACTAAGGAAGGCACAAGGATGAAGGACTGTGTCACATTTCAGGCCTAAACTGACTGAAGCATGATAAACATTCATTTCACAGCTAGGTTGTGTAAGGATATTGCTGCAGTGAGACCCGCTGCATTATTTCTTTTTCAGTAGTGAACCTTATGAAAGCCTCATCCCTTCTGAGAGGCACAGGTTAAAAGAGCATTGTCTTCGGTGTTAATGGGGAAACGGGTTCCTCCACTGTATTAATGATTTACGCTTTTTGTGTTAATGATTTTGCTATTGAATTAAATGTGCCTTGAAAAAAAAGTTAGGAGAAAAAACCCTTTTGAAAAGTAGTTTGCAAATCAACTGAAAAAGAAAGGGAAAGAATCATATTGCTTTAGAACCGTGATGGCAAACCTTTTAAAGACCAAGTGCTAAAACTGCAACCCAAAACCCACTTATTTATCGCAAAGTGCCAGCACTGCAATTCAACCTGAATATCCGATGCTTGGCTGCTGGCGACAGAGACGGTACGTGTGCCATGGGTTCGCCACCACTGCTTAGAACTTTTAGGAATGTTCTTCCAGGCTGGGGCCCTGGGCATGCACTGCAACAGGGAAAACCAAAAACAACTCTCGTTGTCTCTCAGTTTTTTTGCAGATTTTGAAATTCCATACTTGCAGAAGGATAAAGTCACACAAATTGAAATCTGGGTCATGCATGAAATCGGGGGACCTAATGTGTAAGTTTTGGTGCTACTGATGATGGTAATTATGGTTTTCTTGGATATGGTATAGTCAGGTCCATTTTATGCTTTCAATCTGGGGGAAATGCCCTTCTGTTTCTCGTGTAGTTGGTAGAGAGGGAGATGGGTCCGACTTTCTGGGAATGCCACTAGCCAGTTTTGATCCCCCTGGGAAAGCCTCCTTTATCCAGCCAGGAAGTACAGTGTTCCTTTCTGAGTGACTTGGAAAGCTCTGGATAGGTGAGTACCTTTCACATATGTGAGGTTCAAAGCCAGTTTCTGGTCATTTGGAACCCAAATGCCCTCATCAGGGTCTTCAGAATCAACCCAAGGACTCTGTGATAAAGGTTTTATTCTCAGAGAACAACCAGCTCCACCACTGGGTCTCAGATTACCTGGCAAAGAAAGTTTTAAGATCCGTATTTTTCTGGGAAACCTCTTGAGTTTACACATAACTGAAAGCTGAACTCACGTGTCTCACCACTAAGGGACACTCTAGGCACAAACGCAAGACGAAATAAGGTAGATCTGTTTGGTTTAGAAGTGTTTCAATGAGCCCAAGATCTGAAGCTGCCAGAAGGGGGCTTCGAAGGCAAGCTGAGGCCTTGTTCTTCAAAGCACTGATCCTAAGTGGAGCATAGAATTGCCCAACCCCAAGAGCGGAGAGAGAACTCCAGCAATTTCTGTTTCCTACCCCCTCTAAGACTCACCATAAAATGGATGTTATTTTTCCATAGCTCTTGGGCAACAGACTGCAATAAATTTGCAAACTACATATTACTCAAGTTACAGAAAGATCAGCATTTCCCTTCCCTAGAGACAAATTGCGGTTACTGTTGTGTGATAAATCCATGGCGGTGTTATTTGTTGTGAGACCGGGCGTGGTGGCACATGCCTGTAAATCCCAGCACTTGGGAGGCTGAGGCAGGAGGATCATTGCAAGTTCAAGACCAGCCTGGGCTACAAAGTGAGCTCAAGGCCAGCCTGAACTGCATAGCAAGACCCTGTCTCAAAAAAGACAACAACACGAAAAAAAGAAGCCAGTCTACCATGTGGTTGGGACTGTGGCTCACTGGCAGAATTCTTGCCGTGTATGAACAAAGCCCTAGGTTTGATCCCCAGCATTACCAAATAAATAAATACAATGAGAATCCACCCACAATTAAAAATAGAAGAGTTCTTGCCTTGTATCTTTTGTGAGAAGTTGTTCTTTGTCTAGAAGTTATGCTTACCTATTTTTTTAAATGTGTCTGTTACAGAAGATTTGATCTTCAACACTCCCTCGTGAGAGTAGGATATTGCAGTTCGTTGTCATCTTAGCTCATCACTTCTGCTGAGGGAGAAGTTACAAAAAGAGAAGTTACAAAGATTGAAAGGAACAGTTAATGCTTAAAAAATTTTTGGCCGGGCATGGTGGCACATGCCTGTAATTCCAGCACTTGGGAGGCTGAGGCAGGAGGATCATTGTGAGTTTGAGACCAGCCTTGGCTACAAAGTGAGCTCAAGGCCAGCCTGAATTGCACAGTGAGACCTTGTCTCAAAAAGACCAAACAAAAATTTTTTTGATCAATCTTGCATGCCTATTGCATGCCTATATCTGATAATCTGAACAACTACTTGGAAGATAACAATGTGCAATATAACAACTGTTGTGGATTTCCTATCATCTTGTTTTGAAATTCTGTATGTTTTTAATGTTTTTAAATTTTTTTATTCTTTTCAAAATAAAAAAAGAAAAAAAATGATAGGATTCACCTGAATTACATCAACTTTAAGTCTTCCATGTACAACATACAGAAATCTCACCTGTGAACTAAGCATTCAGCCAGACCCTGAATCACAAGGGTGAGCAGCCTGGGCGCTGCTCTGCCTCTTAAGGAGATGCCTTTGAAATGAGCTCTTAAATAAGTGGTTTCCTGTTTTTCAGAAATAAATGCAAGGAAACTTGAAGAATGCATTTCCCCCTGGAAATCTATAAAGAAACAAACAAACAAAAAAAAAAAACCTTACTGCTTGTAAATTTGAGCCACAAGTTAGACATAGTTGCAGGTCACGAGCCAAGGAAGTAGAGGTGTTGGGCTGCTCAGATTTTACGGATAACAGGAGATTGTTTTCAAAATTGCGTTATATTAGGGATTACTGCTAAATAGATGTTAGCTGCTCTTGTTACAGAAAAGTAAGTATTTGAAATGACAGCTCTATTAATCTGTTTCATTGAGGTAACTATTTTACTGTCTGCATGTATCTTACAACATGTGGTAAGCCTCAGAGATGTGCAATACAATTTATTTTTTTAAAAAAACTTACAGACAGATAGCTAAAGGCAATATGGTTAATGCCTGACTGCATTAGCAGGGTTTTCGCTGCTTTTATTCAAAGAAACTATAAAATAATATGGATTCTTCTCTGCGTCTAAGCATCCTGGAGTCTCATAATTATTGCTTACTACAAAAAAAAAAAACAGTCCAGTTTTCTGGACCATCATCCCAGATTTTGGCAAAGTTCTAAAAAAATGATTGGTCTGAACACTGTCCATTTTTTTCTTGTAATGCCTTGAATCCAGCTTCTGTGGAAACCTCTTCCAATCACTCAGTTCCTTTCTGTACACTACCTATCTGTCAATTTTTTAATGGGGAGGCTGGTACATTCCTGGTCCACTTTACTCCAGGCAGGGATCTGTTTATGAATGAGCATGGTGCCTGTTAGGCACAGCTGACAGTGTTGGCCACTGTATAAATGCACCTTGCCTAACTGGGGCCATCAGGAGGGCAAGAATCAACTGGTGAGAGTGTGGGAAATGCACTTGCTTGTGATCAGTTGGAGTATAATTTGGCAGAACATAGGGAGAACCTGAAAATGGAGGCAAAACCTTACTACCAGAAAATGGTTTTAGGAATCTTTAGCTCATCATTTCTGCTGCAGGAGAAGTTACAAAAGGGGTCAGAACACCTGCTTGCAAGTTTAAGCCACAGGTTAGACATACCTGCAGGTCACGAGCCAAGAAAGTAGGGGTGTTGGGCTGCTCAGATTTTAGGAACGACAGGAGATTGCAGTCCATAAAATTGTATTGTATTAGGGGTTATTGCTAAATAAACATTACTGCTTTCGTTAGAAAAATGTAACTGTTTGAAATGAAATTGCAGGACCAGGGATATAGCTCAGTAGCGCAGCGCCTGCCTGGAAAGCGTGAGGTCCTGAGTTCAATTCCTTGTACCAAAGGAAAAAAGAAAAGAAAAGAAATGAAACCATTGTGCTTTGTAGCCATTATTCATAGAAAAAGGTTTATTGATACTGAAGGACTGCCTCACAGTGTGGATCTGATGATAGACCAAGGGATGACTCATGTCCTGTGGAAGAGGACAAGGAGAGGTTTCATCCTGAGACTCAGAATACTGTGCAATCTGAAACCGATGAATATTTATTTTGGGGATTTCACACTTACTGGTTTTGGGCCAGGGTTAAAAATCATGACAGCAAAACCATGGATAGGTAGGTACCAGGGCACATGGAAACGTTAGCAGCAGCTGTCTCTAGTGATGTGGGATGGGAGATTTGGGGTAAGTTTTTCTCTTCTTTTCATTTTCTAATACTAAAAAGGGTGTACGTATCTGTTGTTAATACACTGCAGGTTGAACAGGATCACAGCCTTGTTTGTGCTGGCCCTGGGCCACACCACTGACCGGTGCTTCTGGGCTGGGTAATACCCACATTGTGCAGACTCTCAGAGGGCAGCCTCACAGCCGGTGTTGGGTCTTCAGCGTGCCCCCTCCCAGATCCTGCGTGTGTGCACTGGAAGCCGCGCCTTTTTTTGGACCCGGATCTTTCTCACATTGCCTCTAAGAGATGTTCTTTTATTTTTTTTTGGTTTTGGTTTTTTTCCGGTACCGGGAATTGAACTCACAACCTTGCGCTTGCCAGGCAGGCACTGTGCTGCTGAGCTAAATCCCCAGCCCCTAAGAGGTGTTCTTAAGAAGTGTCAGTCAGCTTAGTATCGGCTTCTCATTCTCCCTCTTCCTCTTCTCTTCCTTCTGTTTACTCACTGTTGAAAGCGTGTTTCTCTGTTCTAGGGAATCCTGTGGCGAGGGCAGCGTGAAGATCCTGGAGGAGAGACTTGAGGCCATGGGGTTCCAGTACCGCTGTATTAACGACCACCTGTAGGTGACCGTGCGCGTGACCAGGGTGCACTCGGGTGGGTGGCGATGGGGGTTGAAGAGGTTTTGCTGCACAGCAGCTGTAGAGCCCATGGGATCAAGCCTCCTGGTTGTCCCCAGATGTGTGGGCAGGGAGAGCCTTCCGGTTCTGGTTCTGAGAAGCCAGGGCTTCTGCCTGGGCCCAACCCACTTTAGGGTCAATTCTAATGGTGGTTAAGGATAGTCAGAGAAGAACTTTTCATTTGTCTAAGTCATTTCCTCCTCCCCTTACTTACTGTGGAGCAACCATAGAATAAGAATGTGCTTCCTGTCTCTCTAGATCCCTGGGGGATCCTTATCCATGACAGGCACTAAGGTGGGAGTTTGATAGACTAAAGACAGATACAATGAGACCATAAACTGGTAATAAGATCATAATAGTTCCATCTCTTGAGGGCATTATAAGCAGGCACTTTGTATTCTTTACACTCAGGTATCAGGTGAGGGCCTTGCTGTTTCTTGGACATGAAGTACAGAAGCAGGGTGGCTTGTCACTTGGAGCAGAATTCAATCACTATGGGAGCATGTTGATGGCGAGGCCCAGAAGCAAGTCTTTGGCTCATACCTCTGACAGGAGAGTTTTTAGAATTTCAGGATTGTGCTTATTTGTCTCAGGCTGATGCAGGCATCATTCTTTCTCTCAGGGAATAGTCAGAGTTAGGACCAGCTTTGAAGTTACAGGGTAAATGAGAAGGAGGCTGACTGGCTTGGTATGAAGGAGCTGGTTGCACCTAACTTGGAGAAGAGGTCTCTTCTCACAAGTGGTATGGGGCATTCTGGCATATTCAGGAATTCATGTTTGGTAAGATATCCTCCCAGGGTGCAAGCTCGTGCCTGGCAGAGGGGCAAGAGGCAAGGGTCTCAGTTGCCCCAATAATGGTAACCTTTCTCTGACAGGGGGACTATAGGTTAGGTAACTAAAGAGTGTTCTGTTTAATTGTCTACCAGGAAAGTCATAGGTTGGCCTCCAATATGGGTGTGGACTCTGAGCTCCCAGTGACCCAGCCAAAGAAGGGAGCCTGATCTGGCCTAGTTTGAGCCTGTCAGACTGATGAAAGGGCTGTCCTTTGATCCAGGTTGAAGTCTTTGAGAGTTTTTCTGTTAGTCTGAATGGGCATTTTTTTATAGCCCTTACACCTTGCATATTGGTCTTTGGCCTGAGAGTATGGTCATCTACCAGACTGAATTTTCTTATGAATATGAGGTGCTTTTTGTGCAGTGAAGGCTGCACCTATCATCTGTAGATTTTCTGGGGCCTAAGGGTCAAAAGGAGTGTGGACCCCATAGGCTTCACAGAGTCTCTCGTAGAAGTCTAAAGGGTTTTTATCAAACTTCTGGGTAAATAGTAGTCACTTTTGACATATTGATGGGCTTTTTGTCCCCCTCTTTTATACCTTTGAGAAGCACTTGACTGGATTGATTTCTTTTTGCTAATGTGTTATAATTTTGGGCAGGTTGACCTTTAGGAAAGGCCACGGCAACCCATCCGTCAGGGCTGACAGTCCATGGAGGTACCTCTCCCGTTAACCAGTTTTTCTCTTCAATCAAAATGTGGTGACATTTCTGTGTTGAACAGAGTCAGAGGGTTGCTGACAGTCATCCCAAGTGGGCGTTAGATGACACCATTTGACCAGGATAGGAGTGTAAGGGTAGCTGTAAAGCAGAAGGCTCTGGTGGGGAGCCTCAGTGGCTGAACAAAGGCAATGGCTGAGAGGATTCTCCAGAGTCAAGGGTGGAGAGGCAGGCTGGTGTGGTATCAGAAGAACCGGCCGAGGGCTGGCTGCTGAAGGGTTGGTGGCCGGAACCAGTTCAATAGGCTGGAAGTAAAGGGGGTCGGGAGCAGGAGGAGGGCTGGCTGGTGAAACTGTACGTCCTGGCAGCAGCTGTGGTGGCCAATCAGAGATGATACATCTGCCAAGGAGGAATCCTCAGGAAGAGTAAGTCTTTGTTAAGGTGCAGGGAGTGGGTTTGGTTTCATTTTAACTTTGTAATCACCAGAAAAGCCCTTTAAAATTTTTTTTAAAGATACATTCCAGAATTGTAAGCTTTGAGTAGTTAGAGCCCAGTCTGACTCACTACATGTATGTGATGTGCCCTTGAGCAGAGTCACAACAGACAAAGGGTGGGTGCCCCTCAAAGAGAGACCTGGATCTGTGCCTCTTGGCAATTTAGGACTGTCTAGACTAAGGAGAAACTCATCACCAGAGTCTCCATTATGTCCCATTAGATGCATCCATAGAACCACAGGTTAGGACCCATTCAGACTCCATGGTCTGGGGTTATCTCGTCGTGGAGCTGCACTGACGGAAGTCTATGGCTTACACCATCTGTTACATTCATACACACACTCAGCATTCATTCAGAGGTTAAAACAGTTCCTCCCCCTGGGAGTCCTTATTCTGATGAGAGGTGATCAGTCTCTCCTGTCTCGTGGGACAGACTTAACTTGGGGTCTTACCTGATCCAAAGGCAAGGCAGGATTCTGCAGCCGCTCCTCTCTTTGGTCCAGTGAGCTGCAAGTGGCAAGCACGGGTGTACTTCTCTGGTCCCCTGAGAAGATTCTGAAGATACTTTGGGGGGTCACCTTTCTCCTCAAGGGGCCGGAGGGGTCCTCACTTCTTCCATGGGGGCTCTGGCCAATGACCCAAATGGCCAGCATGGTTGGCCTTCCCAGTCAAGGAACCAAATGTAACAGCAAAGTTCTGACCAAGAACTGAGTGGTACTGAGGGCTGGCAGCAAGAGTTATCCCCGAAGGCTCAGCGAGCGAGATTTTTATGAGGCTGCAAAGCAGAAGTACAGAGGCAGAGTGCTTGTCATTTGGGGATTGGTTCTTACAATGTCCATCAAGGTGAGGAGCCATTTCTGGGAAACAAAAGTAACAGAAACCGAATTAAATGGGAGGTTATTTGGGCAACAGAAAAACAGACACTGAAGTCTACTGGCAGTTTACATTGTCAGGGAACCAGCATCATCTTATACTGTGGGGGCATTTCCTGTTATGATATGTCTGTGCAGGAGAGGCGGGCGAGGAGCTCTGGCTTTGATTCACCTGCAAGGATCAAGTTTCATTCCCCAGTCCTCCACTGCGAGAACTGGGGCAAATCATTGCATTCAGCTGTCGCTACTGGAAACTGGTGGTGCAAGTAGAACCAGCTGAATTGGTTATACGATTAAATGACATAATCTATGGAAAATACATAATCAGGTTCCTTGGTACCAGGCTGGGAGTGCAGCTTGCTGGGAGATGGCTTGCATAGCATGCACCAGGCCCTGGGCTCTATCCCCAGCATTGCAAACAACTATAAATTTCTTGAGATACAGTATAGTAAGTGCTCAATAAATACTAGATAATTTTATGTTTTGCTTTTGGAGATAGGATCTCACTATGTAGTGCAGGCTGGCCTTGAACTCATGGCAATCTTCCTGCCTCAGCCTGTCAAGTGCTGGGATTACAGGTAAGCACCACACTCAGCTTTTAAAGAAGAATAGTTTGTATGTTCTTCAAAGACCCAGATTTTGTATCACCAAGACTTTTCAGGTGCACCATAAATGTTTGATAGATGTGTTATTTAATCTCTTAAACACTACCAGGCACGGTGGTACATGCCTGTAATCCCAGCACTTGGGAGGCTGAGGCAGTATGATCACCAAGAGTTTGAGGCCAACCTGGTCTACATAGTGAGCTCAAGGCTAGCATGCACTACATAGTGTGACTCTGCCTCAAAAATCAAAACAAAACAGAAGTCCATTCTTTTCTTTCTGTAGACCTGTGAAGCTCTTGATGTGTGTGGACCACAGCACTCATCCCGACTGTGCCTTAACTTTGTAAGTAAATGTTTTGATTCAAATCTCTTTTCCTTCCTAAGATTCCTTCATATACAGCCCTCTTGTGAATTCCACTGTGATTTTAGACCCCGTGCCCCAGCAGCCTCTCAAGGCCTGGGTGGGTGGGTGGTCTCGGGCTGTGGTGTCACTTAGGTCCATATGGTGCCGTGCCATCTTCTTCACCAGACCGCACACCTGTCCGGGTGCAGGTCATGCGCAGCTCCTTTTTGTGAGACTCACTGCACTCCACAGCAGAATTTCTGATGACAGTGATACCGTCTTGGCACCTGCACCTCAGTTCAGGGGCCTCAGGACGCAGGGGGAGAGGGTGGCCCACCTGGGTGAGGCTTGCGGCTGGCACTCTGTGGCCACCCTCTCACCTCATTTGATCACTTTCCCTGAAGGTGGTCCATTTGGTCCTCACCATTGATGCTGAGGTTTGGAGAGATTAAGGAATCCTTTAACTTCACGCCAACTGGCTAGAGCAGTGATGGCGAACCTTTTAGAGACCGAGTGTCTAAATTGCAACCCCAAACCCACTTATTTATTACAAAGTTGCAAAGTGCCAACAGTTCCTATGTGAGCTGCTATCCCATGCTCCACAGGTGGGGCGGTGCTGGGGTGCCTTGGCTCGTGTCCCCGCTGTGGCACGCATACCATAGGTTCGCTATCACTGGGTCAGAGCCGGACGCAACACCAGGTGAAGTCCTTGTGCTTCTTGCGTACTCCCTGCTCCCGAGGCCACGTGCATGCACAACAGGCATGCAAAGGCCCGGAGGTTCTCTGCCTGTTCTCCTCCCCTTCTACGGCCATACCACCCTGAACACCTGATCTTCTCTGTTCTCCTCCCCTGGCTTCAATATTTATTTCAGTGACTGTTGGTAGGTCTATTTTTGACAGTTTTGCCCATTTCCTTTGAATGAGAGGTACAAAACCATCTTTTACCCTTTGCCAAGTATTCCTCCACTTTCATTGCCCCGGCAGGGATTTTACCAATCTCTTTTTTGAGCATTTGAGCAATCAATATTGATAGATCATTTATAAAAGCAAAACCACAGACAGCAAGTACACAAAATTGCTTCATCACTTCACAGATTCAGTAAGGTATAATTTCCATCTCAATTTCTTAACAAAGCAGAAAAAAAAATTAAAGCTGTTATGATGCCATTCAATGTGTGGTGGGATTGTAAATTGGTAAAATGTTTTGGGAAAACCATTTGACAGTCTATGACCAGAATTATAAAAATATTTAGAACCTCTGACCTATATGAGCAAGGGTACTTTGGGCACCCTATTCTAAAGAAATGATGACAAAATGGATAGAGCCTACGTGCTCAGAGATGTTCACCAAAGCGTTACAAAGTGGAGACACTGGCTGGACCTAAATATGCAATGGCAAATGAAGGATTCCATGCAAGGGTCCACTTCTGAAGCAGAGCAGGATGTAGCCATCAAAGACAATGGCAGGATACTCTTACAAAAATATAGAATAATCTAAGTCAAAGAAAGAAATATGTGCTTATATGATACAATGTTGGCCCCAAATCCACTTGGCAGGGTTGGTGCAGATATAAGATAACAGACGCCTCAGCTTCCTGAGATAGTCACGCAGGGAGAGCCAAGGCCGAACGTCAGATCTCTCATCATGGCCAGAAGTCTCTGGTCCAAAAAGGCCCCAGCCACAGCAGTAGGATTACTTATTTTTATTTGCTTAGAAACAGTGGGGCAAAAGATCTTCAATCTGCAAAAGTTTAGAATCAACACAGCTATTGACATTAATTCAACCCATATTATTAATAATTGTAGGATCAGGTTAGGGATAATCTATGTTTTGGTGCTGAATTTATTTGCAATACTTTAGAGAATTTAGCATATATGAGTAGCTATTGGATTAGCCCACAATCTCAACAAACATGTAAGTATTAGCTGATTTGAGATGTGGGAATTGTAGTTGAAAGTTGTAAGAGAATTTAATTAAATTTTTAACCTTTTTTTGTTTTGTTTTGTTTTGTTTTTGAGACAGGGTCTCACTATGCAGTTTGGGCTGGCCTTGAGCTCAGTTTGTACCCAGGCTGGTTTTGAACTCGCAATATTCCTCCTGCCTCAGCCTCCTGAGGGCTTGGATTACAGGTGTGCCCACCCCGCTTAACCAGTTTTAAAATACTTAAAACAACTAAGATTAAATCTTACACAGTTGTTAGGTTTACTAGAATCAAATATCTGTGAGGGCTTTGCTGACTGATTGATTGATTGATTGATTGTCTGATTGTAGTGCAGACTGGCCTTCAACTCACTATGTAGCCCAGGCTGTCTTTGTTTTTGTTTTTGTTTTTGTTTTTTTTTAATTTTAAAGAATAAAAGAAGGATAACATAATAATAGGGGGGACTTAGCAAATTACAGACAAAATGGTAGGAAATTATCAATGGTTATCATTTTACATATTATTGTCTACAAAATAGTTTCTCAGGAAAACAAATAGACAAATAATAGTGAGTTACAGACAAAAGAGGCAGGAGATTATCAAGAGTTGTTGTGCTATACTTTGGTATCTTCAAAGTGGCTTCTAAAGAAAATAAATAGAGCTATACATGAGTGACCTATTGAAAAATCATTAACTATTCTCAATGGTTGTTGTAGGAAACACATAATAATAAACATACATTATGAAATAGGATAGGAACATTACAAACTTAACAGAGTTATGGATAGATTAGTAGGAAAATATCAATGGCTGCTGTAATACATGGTGGTATCTTCAGAGTGGTTTCTCAGGAAGACAGAGATATGCAAGAAGGATCTAATAAGTAGTTACAGCCTAAGGGTTGTCAAAAATAGCATATTACCTCCTCACCAGTGACTCCTTTCACTGAGGTATGATGGCTGGAAGGAAGGCGAGGATTGAAAAGAAGGACCGAGAGACTTGCACCTGTGACTAGCAACAGGCTGTTTTCTTGTTCCTCCATAGTCATGATTACCCAGGACTCCTTGATGGAGATGACGGTCTGGCCAGAGGGAGAAGGCAGAGCATGCCCCAAGCCCTCTCATTCCTGTTGGAGTAACTGGTAGCATGGGTCTGAGCTCTGGGGCCTCCACCTCAGAGGGCAGACCGATCTCCAGTGGTCTCCTTTGCATCCAGGGCATGGCCCATGGGGCCTCTTAGGGCAGTTCCTCTTGAGGTAGCCTGGCTTTTAACAGTGGTAGCCGATGAATGCAGTTGTCAAATTCTTCTTGGAGCCCCGGGAATCAGACCCAGGCTGTCTTTGAACTCACAGTAATCCTCCTGCCTCTGCCTCCTGAGTGCTGGGATTATAGGCACGTGCCACCATGCCCGAAGACTTTGCTTATTTAAACACAGTTATAGCTGGGTGTGGTGGCACACGCCTGTAATCCCAGCATGTGGGAGGCTGAGGCAGGAGGATCATTGAGAGTTCAAAAACAGCCTGGGCTACAAAGTGAGCTCCAGGCCAACCTGAACTGCATAGCAAGATCCCATTTCAAAAAAAAAAAAAAAAAAAGAAAAAAAGAAAAAGAAAAAGACAGCTAAAATATTTGTAAAAAGAAAATGGAAGATTATAAAGCTTAAATTTACATATTTTAACCTAAAATAACTTGAGCTAAAAACAGCCAAGGAAGTTAAATAAATGTGAAACACCGTTAAAAGTTGTCAGAGTCAGGCATAATGATGCCCTCCTGTCATCTCTGTACTCTGGGGGACTGAGGCAGAAAGGTCACAAGTTCAAGTCCAGCTAAGGCAATTTAGGGAGCCCATGTCTCAAAACAGTATACTTTTGAAAAGGCTGGCGATGTATCAGTGTGAAGGACCTCTGAGTTCAGCCCTTGCTAGTAGGGAAGAAAAAGTTTTCAGAGTGCAGAAGGTTCCTCAATAGAATGACACAATTCGTAACTTAAAAATAAATGTGTCCCCCCAAATTAGACTTTTGAATTTATAAATTTAATAGCAAGAATTAATTTTTAAAACCAGAATAACTACAGATGGTGCATCAAACTGACCCCAAGGATAACCTCATGTCAACAAGCGAAGCTTATTAAGCTAAAATCTGACAAAGCAAAACACAGAACATGAATGTGGACATGGAAAGCAAAGCAAGCAAACCTATGCGCTTCTGTTTGTGGGTGGTCATGGGTGTGAATGACACAAACAGGTCTGAGAAGGTGAACTCCAGGATGCTAACAGCGGTTACTTCTCACAGGCAGGAAAAAGATAACAGGAGACTATCATCACTACTGTATTTCATTCCACGTTTTCTTTTTTTGGGGGGGGGCAGAGTCTTGCTGTGTATCCCAGGCTGGCCTCGAACTCACCTCGATCTTCCTGCCTCAGCCTCTTGAGTGCTGGGATTGCAGGCGTGCACCACCACGCTCTGCAATTAATCCTTATATTAATTAGTTATTTAAAAGCAAACTTAGTGAATCAGGTCTGGAACCAACTGAACCAGAAGTGTAATCACAGAAAATGTCCAGCAGGCGGAACCCTAACACAGATTTGAGGGTAAGATTCCTTCAACCAAGAAAGGGGCCACCAACATTCAAATAGTCTGGAAATTTTAAGGCCACGCTCCCAGGGCCATCAGATTTATTGTCAGTCTAACATTAGATGTCTTCATGGTTTTAAAAATTCATGTTTTACTTGGTTTTAACCGAATTCAATACGTTCTGTTTTCAAAAATCCGGAGGTCAGCTACTCTTGGCTACGATCAGGATTAAATTTTGACCAGGCCCTCTCTAAAGGGTACGCAGCCAGGACTGGCTTTTCCTCAGGAGTTAAGCTCTAGTGATGCAGAGTCCGTCACTGAGGACCGCGGCTGACGCTATGGCGCACACATTCGGGAAGAGCGTCCATAGGGGGCGCGCACAGCGTCCACAGCGTCCACGGGGGCGCGCACAGGATCCGCGCGCACAGCGTCCACGGGGGCGCGCACAGGATCCGCGCGCACAGCGTCCACAGGGGGCGCGCACAGGATCCGCGCGCACAGCGAGGCAGTACATCCAAGAAGCGCGGCTGGGCGAAGAAAGCGCGCTGCAGATTTCATGGGCAAAGAATGTGTCTGTCTGTCTGTCTGTCTCCTTCCTGGAAGGACAACCTAAATTACCCATGGTGATTCTCTCTGGGAAGTAGGAATGGAGATACTAAGAAACTTTTATTTTTCGCTTTACAACTTTCTGCCCTAGTTTACATTTTCTGGAGGGTGCATGCGTGTTTTGGGACGGAGGAGCAGGACTGACGTTTTCTGTTTCCTTGTTAATTTTCAGGTCAGCCGCATCCACTGGAAGAGCACCCTCCTCTCATTTTCCAGAACGGAGCGCCACCCTTATCCTGCCTCTGTTGGCGGCTGTGGCCTCCGGTTCCCAAATCTAACGAGCTCTGCTGTTGGACTCTGCTGTTTGAACAGCTGCCGGCCACGCCCGCCCGGGCTCCGTCTTTGTCCGGTTCTGCGTACACCAAGTGATCCTCTTCTCCGAAGATGTTTCTTCCTGGGAAAAAGTGGTCATTTTCCAGCGACTTTTATGCTCAGGATTCTGCAAACAAGAAATTAGTCTCATCCTGATAAGCGGGTTAAATCTGCTGCCTTAAAATGGAAGCAAGTTTCGATTTGCTTTTTTTTGTTGTTGTTCGATTTGCTTATTTTTATAATGGCACCAGGTCTTGAGACCTCCCCCAACGGTTGCATAATCTTATACAATCAAATATTTAGAAAATTCTAATAGAACAATATTTTGTATTTTCTGTATTTTTCTGAAGCTCCAGGAGTGCAGAATACAGGCTTGTTGATAGCTTGAGATATATGTACACTATAGAATACATACACATACCAGATATGCAAATATTTACATATAAAGAGACTTGTCTTAAAGGCTGCTCATGGCAAGGGGACAGTCCAAATGTCCAATACCATGTACATATTTATTGGAACTGTTTGGACCTGCTTGCCCAAGCTTTGGTGTATCTAGGATGCAGTATCATCCGGCAAGTAAAGGTCACGCTTACCAGGCAAATGTCCTCCAGCCAGTGACTAGGTGAGTTAACTGCAGTGTACCTGCACCGTGGAATACCGCTCAGCAGTAAGAAGTGATGTGGATGAAGCCCAAATCATCGTGCTAAGGGGGAGAAACCAGACCAAACGGCTGTGCACTGCGAGATTCTGTTTATATGGGAGAGGCAGGACGTCAGGAAAGAGAGCGGGTCAGGAGCTGCTGAGAGGGGAGCAGGTGTGAGGACAGGGCAGAGGGGCTCAGTGGGAGGGACCTGAAGAAGGAGCAGTTGGTGGGTCTGTTCTGTACCTTGACTGTGCTGGGCAGTGCATGGACTTGTGTATTTTCTTAACAGTTAAAGCCGTATGTCAAAAAGAATAAATCTCACTAAATGAAAAGAAATGCCTTCAAAGAGCATTTAATCCTATAGGAAAACTGCCAGTGATACATGAAAGATACTATGTAGGATATAACACTATTATACAATCCAGTTGTCTAAGAGATAATCCAAATGAATTAATTTTGGGTTTTTTTTTTGAGACAAGCTCTTGCTGTGTAGTTCAAGCAGGCCTTGAACTTGTGGTGATCCTCCTGCCTCAGCCTCCTGAATGCAGGGATTACCAGCGTACACCACTGTTGCTGGAATCTCCTGGCTTTTGAATCTCATGGCTGGCTACACCAAAATGTCATCTGGTAGCTCCATCTAAAAGTGGCTCACCAAGTAAATGTTACGGGGTTTGGGGTTGCTTGCCTCTCCTTCTGGAGTTAGATCCCAGCTTCTTCTCATCTGGAACAAAGAGTTGAATGAAATGAGCAAAAAGCAGTGGCAAAGTTTATTTGAAAAAGTAAAAGTGGAGTGAGAGACACTGGCTCTGTTGCCGGGTGTGGTGGTGCATGCCTGTAATCTCAGCACTTGGGAGGCTGAGGCAGGAGGATCATTGCAAGTTTGAGACCAGCCTGGGCCACCAAGTGAACTCAAGGCCAACGTGAACTGCATAGTGAGACCCTGTCTTAAAAAGACAAAAACAAAACGAAATGAAATTGGTTCTGCAGAGCAAGCTTGGGCTGAGTAGGAGGGAAAAGCAAGATAAGAGAACATCCTGGAGGAAGCAGAGCGGGCCGTTGTGAGGAAAGCCATGCTGGTAAACTCCTCTTGGTGTCTGTGTCCTTCTACGCTGTCCGTATCTGGAGGAAACCCACGACAACCGCTACACGCGCATCCTGAAATGCAGCACTGGGGTCGCGCACCTCAGGCTGACCAGGCCATCCCGTTGAAAGCCTGCTCAAGTCTGCCAAGAAGTCCTCGGGCAGGGCTTTGGGAACTGTTCTGTGCATGTGTTCCCGGATCTTGTGATTCACTGATCACCCCTTTTTCTCCAGCCAGTTTTGCCACACCCTCATCTCCCATGTCACCACCACACCCAGCTCCGACACAGTGCGAATTTATAAATGATAACATGAATATGTGTTTGTGTGATGTACAGCAAATGAGTAAAAGGGAAGGAAATAAACCAAAAGACGGAGCAAGCTAATTCTGGATAGTGATCATATCAGTGACTCTTTCTTTCTTTCTTTCTTTCTTTCTTTCTTTCTTTCTTTCTTTCTTTCCTTTCTTCTTTTTTCCTTTCTTTCTTTTTCTTCTTTCTCTCTTTTAATGGTAGTGGAGTCTGAGACCAGGGCTTTCTCACTGAGCTACATTCCCAGACCTTTAAAAAAAATACTTTGAGACAGGATCTTCCTAAGTTGGTAAATTTCCTATGCTGGGTTTGAATTTGTAATCTTTTTGCCTCAGCCTCCCAGAGTGTTGAGATTTCAGCTGCTTGCGCACACCCCTCATGTGACTCAGCGATTCTATTTTTGACTGTTAACTTTTTGTATTTTCCAAGGAGGATGCAATATCTTATTGTCAGAAAAAATGTAAAAACACACATACCATATGTGTAGAAATTTGACCCAATGCAAAACATTTTCAGAAGAGAAACAACAGCGTGTCACAGACTCTTTTGTCTGTCTGTTCGCTACTTCTGGTCTACCCCACAGCAAGCGCATGTAGCCAGGGGTGTGAACTTCCTGCTTGTGGTGCCCCGGGGGTCAGCAAATAGCAGGGTGGCTTTTTGCCCTCCCAGACCCCTGTGAACTTCTGGAGAGGCAGGGAACTGTGCAGCCAGTGGAGGGACACAGTGCAGCTTGCTCCCAACACTGTAGGACTGGAACGCTGTCTTCTGACCCTCCCGTCCCTTGCTCCTGGGGGAGGCCCTCTCCGTGGTGCTGCTGCTCAAGTTTGTGGACCTTTGAGCAAATATTCACTCTACATCCGGGACACTGCATAGCTTCCTGATCAGTGCACACAGCAAATGCTTGCAGTCCATGCTGGTGGGTATGGTCATCTCCGATTCTGTCCTGGGCAGTCTGCAGTCCGTCTTGCTGGAAATGACCTAACAATGTTCTAATGCATCTTCTTGTCTTCCTCCCTTCCTGACTCCTTCTCACCTCTCACTAATGCCCTGCCCTTGTGGGGTCCACACAGACATCTGCTCCTCCCAATGCTGTTCCATCAGGAGATCTGGAATGGTCTCTCCTCTGGGCAGAAGAGGCCAGGCTACGTGGCCATTGTCACCTGCTGTGTTTGAATAAGGTTTGTCCTCTTGGACGCAGGCAGGAGCTTAACCCTTAGAGTCTTCTGCTAATTTATTAAGAGGATAGAAACTTAATCTCACTATTGTGTTCAGAGGGAAGCCCTTTGAGAAGTGATGAGATCAGATTAGGTCATAGGGTGGAGTCCCATCCTGAATCCTGGTGGCTCAAAAGGAGAGGGACAGAGACAACATCAACACAGAGACACACACATTCCCACCCTGGCTGGGCTCTTGCCACAGCCTACCCCATGTTGTCTGCAACTTGGGCCTCCAGAATTGTGAGCAGAAATAAACCTCTTTTCTTTATAAAGTATCTTGCCTCCATTCCTTTGTTTTAGTAATCGAAAACCAGACTTACTACACCACCAGTCACTTTCATCATCCACAGCATAGCTAGCATTTATTCATAGGTGATATGCCCTATATGATATGTGACACATGACCTAGGCATTTGGGGGAACAGTAGATTTTTTCTCTCTACCACAGAACACATTTGGCATTTTATTTATTTATTTATTTATTTATTTATTTATTTATTGGTGTGGGGACTTGAACTCAGGACCTTGCACTTGCCAGGCAGGCACTTGTGCCACTTAGGTAGATCTGTAGCCCCATACAGAACACTTTTGGGCCAGCTTGTGGTAGGACACAGTCTGAACAGGGAGAGAGTGGGGGATGGGAAGTGGGTCAAGGTAAAGGGAAGAGACTATGGGACAAAAGACTGCAGAGGAATGGAGCCCTGGTGTGCACTGAATGTGCCTACACCAATGTGCACTGTCAAAGTGGTGCGAGCTTGGAGAAGCCGCATCTGCCAGCTAAACTGCTCACTGTGACCCAGATGTGTCCTACTTTCTCTTTCCTCGGGGTCTTTGCACAATGAACACACTGGTCTCTCAGCAGTGACTTCCCTTCCTACTCAGCATCCACACAACAGATGCCAAGCTCCGCCTCAGGCATCACCTCCTCTCTGGAGCCTTCTTGTTCTGTGTTCTTTGCTCCTCTCTCCCCTCTGCCCATGTGACTTTCCTTACCATGGTCACCCTCCGTGGTCTTATCCTTGCTTGGGGCCCTGCCTGGCTTCACCCAGGGGCTTTGGCTTCGTTGAGAACTTGTCAATCTCTGCAGCCCTGCCCCGGCCACACCTGGGTGAGGTGGGCTTTCTAGATGTGCTTGAGTGAGAGAAGAGATAGACAAATGGACTGAGCTTTGAGAAGAAAAGGCAGGGTGTAAGTTTCTTTGGGGAATGTCAGGAACGGAGAGAGAGCAGATTAAGAGCACTGTGTACCATGCTTGTCTGCATGTACTCGGTGTTTCCCTAAAGCACATGAAGTACGTGATGTCACTGATGTGTGTGCAGGAGCCAGAGCGGGAAGATGATGCCAATGAGCAAAAAACTGCTGGGAACAGAGAAAGCAAGAGAACAAGGCTCACCCAAGCCCTGTTCATAGTTTGTCTGGGACCAGCCAGCTCCTCAGACTAATCCGGTGGAACCCCCAACAAAAAGTGTCCCTTCGGACAGCCTTGGAGAACACAGTGTCCACTGCCTTTGGGTTGCTTGGGTTACGGGGCACTTCCACAGCCACCCCTGGCACAGTGACCTGCAGCTTAATTAGATGTTGCCATTTGGAGTGGAAAAGAAAATGCTTTTATTTTTAAAAGATAGAAGGAAATCTCCTTTTTAAAATAAAAGAAATCCTTATACCTAATCCTTGAAAAAAAATTTGTACCATACAGAAAATTTAGGAAGAAGGCAATAAAAACCATCTGTCATACATGCTGCACACAAAGAATCCAACTTTTTTCCACGTACATTCCTGCACACACACACATATTTTTAAACCCAGGTGGAAACATTTGGTATCAAGAGTACAAACCAGGGTAGAATCATTAAACCGCAGGCTGTAACCCTTTAGCAAACATATCACCATCCCTGGGGTTCTTCCTGCTTCTGCTTGGCTTCCTTCTCTAGTCCGACTTATACAGAGCTGCCAGAGCAAAGGCCCTAAGCCAAGGCCCAGTTGCATCACCCTTTCTGTCCACATCCTGGATGGCTCCCTATTGTCAGCAAAGTAAAATTCATCTATGTGGGATTTTTGTTTTCTTTCTTGGTTGCTTTTGTGGCAATGAGGATAAAACCCTGAGCCTCATGCATGCTAGGTGATTATTGTACCACTGGGCCACATACCCAGCCCAAAGTCTATAGTTTTAAATCTAATGTTCAAGATCTTTCCCTGTGCCCCCATTAGTTTCCTAGTTCTGTGCCCAGGGGACCCCTCTACACCCTCCCTGTACCTCCATGTCCCTTCTGTCTATTCCCCATTCTCAGCATAAGCCTCCAGTCTCCTGGCTGTGCCTCCTCCTCCAAGCCTTACTTTGTTCCAGTGTCAGACACGTGTTTGGGTGTCTCTCTCCAGCACAGCGACCTTGTCCAGCTGCCTTTGTGTCTATCACAGGGCTTTACCCTCACCAGCCGTGATCTTGTGAGCTTGTGATGGGTGAAGGAGCTGTTACTGAATTTGAGTTTGCATTTAACATTGAGTGTGTTCCTCAAGCTTGGGGAGCCAAACATGGGTCATCAGGAGGTGGTGCAATGTGTGGCTAAGAGCTGGTGTCAGGGCCTAGCAGTATGCCCCAAGTCCTGCCTTTAGCACTGCCCAGCAATGTGACCCTGGGCAAGTCACTCACAGTGTCTGAGCTGCATCAACTCGCTTGTAAGCAGGGCTTGCAGGCACTCACAGTGAGGTGAATTAATGTGTGTGAAG